CGGCTGGCATGTGGTGCTGGGGGATTGAACCCTGTGCTTTGCTTAGCTTAGCTTGTTCTAAGTAGGTGCTTTAGACCACTGAGCCATCTCACCAGCCCATGTCTGATTTATTTAACAATGTGGTCTCGAGCTATATCCCTTTGCCTACACATGACTCAAATTTATCCTTTATGGCTGAGAGTACTCCATTGTGTATATATATTACATTTTCTTGTTTTCATCTGTTTATGAACATGAAACACTTCCAAGATCTAGTTATTGCAAGTGTGCTGCTACAAACATGTATCCCTGAAATATGATGTCTTTAACTCTTTCAGGAAGATGGTGTAGAAGGAAATAACTGAGTCCAGTGGAATTTCTATTTCAAATTTTTTGAGGAATCTCCATAACAATTGTACTAATACCACCACAATAGAGAAACCCAGCGCATGCACACACATGCACACACACACATGCACACACACAATTTATTGTTATCTGATTTTTGGATAGCCGTCATTCCTGGAATAAAGTAGAATCTCAGTGTTGTTTTAACCATCTACCAGTCCAATTATTTAAATACAATATGACAAAAAGTTACATAGGTTGTTTTGTTAATTTTTATAGGGTAATATAACAGAAAAAACAAACATTTTTCAAATTCAATAATTTTTCTGTATGTATCTTAAAATATTCAATACGAAGTGCAACATTACAATCTGAAAGGTAGTAGTAGCTAGTCTCCTTCAAAATTCTATTTGCATTATTGTCTTTCTTTCAATAGCACACTTCACATTGTCCTGTTGGCCTTTCCTTTTTTTTCTGTGGGTAGTGTAATTTCAATAAAATGTCTTTCCAGTAACCCTAATAGTGAAGATGTCAGTGATAGATGTCCTGGTTGACATCTCAATAGCCGCGTGGAAGTACCATGTGCAAAAGGAGAATCGATGGGTTGATTTGCACCTGCCCAAGTGACGCTCAGTATAAACTAGCAAGTGGGTGATACACCTTTTTCTAAAGACCAGGGATGTTGGATATATATATATATAAGATTTTTTTTTGTTTGAGAAGTATGTATTCATTTTGGTTGCTTTTTTTTCATTGTATGTATTTGGTACAGGGTCTCACTTAGTAATAGCTAACAGAATCTTTTTCCATTTTGTAGGTTGTCATTTCACTGTTGGGTTTTTTCACTTACTATGTAAAAGCCTTTTAATTGGATATGATCCCATTTGTTGTTTCTTGGTATCTTATGCAATTAGGATGATGTTCAGAAAGATCTTGCTTGCAATTATATCTTCAAGAGTTTTGATTTTACTTTCCAGCAGATCAATTGCTTGTCTTAATATTTAGATTTTTGATTCATTTTGATTTTAGTTTAGTACATGGTGAGAGATATGGGCATAGATGGAATCTTCTGCATGTGCATAGCCATTTTTCTCAGCGCCGATTGTTAAAGACTGTCTTTTCTCCAGTGTTTTTGGCCCTTTTGTCAAAGATCAGGTACCTGAATGTACCTGGAGTTGTTTCTGTGGTCTCTGTTCTGTTCCATTGATCTGTGTCTGGTTGGGGTTTGGGGGCACAGGAGGCTGGCCAATCCAATGCTGTCTTTATTTCTGTAGTGTAACTGCTTTCCAGGATTGTGATGTCTCCTGCCTTCCTCTTGTTGCCTGGTATTGCCTTTGCTATTGCTATTCCAGGTTTCTCCTGGTGCCACAGGAATTTTAAGATTGGTTATACTAGCTGTGACAAATGCTTTTGATATTTTGATTGGAGTGGCATTAAACCTGTGTATCCATTGTAGAAATATGACTGTTTAATTGTAAATTCTGCCAATCCAGAAATGGGGTATCTTTCCATTTTCTGATGTACTCTTAGCTCAGTTTGTAGAGGTTTCATTCCATAGTCAGCTCCCTCAAATGCATCATGGCATGGTAAAGGGGCATCACAGAGGAGAAACAGTACATGGCAGGCAGAAAGCAACAAGCCCTGCTTTTTCTTTTTAGTCCATCCAGACTACAAGCCTGTTGGGGCCACCCACACTCTGTTGGGCCTTCCCTCTTCAGGAACTCTCTCTACCCCCAGAACTCTGCTGAACCAATCAGTGGATGAATCCAGTATCACATCCATGACCCAGTCACTTCCCAAAAGCCCCACCTATATGAGGCTTTCAGGGGACATCTAGATATAAAATGGACCACCTCTTTATCTCTCTTGCCAGTACTCTGGGAGGCTGAGGCAGGAGCATCATGAATTTGAGTCTAGTTAAGCAACTTAGACCCTAGTGAGGTCCTTATCTTTAATTTTGATCTTACCTTTCTTTTTCTTTTTTTTTTTTTTTTTTTTTTTTTAGAATCTAGTCTGTCTTTGCTACTGTTGATGAACACTTGAA